GGGTTTAGGGCTTAAGGTTTAGAGGACTGCAGTTAGGCGTAACCACAACTCCCCTTTTGGTCCTGACGCAGTGGAAATACTAAGTCTTCAGCACTACGACCCCTAAACCCTCAGCCCTATTCCTATTGTGGTTTTGGGGTTGGCAGCAGGAGCAGCATTCCGTTAGTGCTTCGAACTAAGCGGTTGTACAGAGAAGCTTTTCAGAATTACGCCAAAACTCTTCCCGAAGCCAAGGGTAGGTCGGCAGGTCGGTACGTCGGTAGGTGTCTCTGTGTGTAAACAATCCAGACAAGCATGTGCACAAGTTGTAGAGGTAGTTACGGTCTAGAACCCCAAACCCTAAACCCCAATGCTAGTGTTAGCTTGTGCATTATTGTCCATCAGGGCATGTGTGGAATTACAGGCTTTGGGACCTGAAGAGAACGCAGATTGGAAGGCTTCAGGGAAGTCACACAGAAGCCATAGTAGTTAACAGTAGTGTTCCTGTTGGGTTCCTTAAGAAAACTAAAGTACCACCCGAAACCCTGTCGTGGTCATTCAGGCCCTATACTAGGGGCACCTTACGGGTCCTTGTCATCAGCGATCCCAGTACGTAGGCTTCTATACTGGGGTCCACTTTTTCTGAAAAAATCCTACGTAATATAGGGGCCTTCTAAGAACAGGGTTTTCGGGTATATTATACTGATAAGGAACCCCCAAAACAGTATTGGTAATTATTTAGGCCCCTCTAGTATCCAGCACCAGCACCCACTCCAAGACTACCGACACTGTCTATCTAGCGACCATCTTTAGCCGCACCGTGGATTTGTGTCCCCTCTGAGCCCGAAGCCTAAGCCCCGAAGTCGTTCAAATTCCGTTGTAGCCAAAGCCTCAGGGTCCAAGCGCCTAATGGTCATATACTTACTCTCCTGAGTCTTCACTTTCAACACCGCTATTCTAAGCCCTAGTACCTATAAACCCTAAACCCAAGTAGTTGGTCCTTTGGACTCTTACGGAACTTAGGGAAATCCCTAAACCCTAAACCCTAAACCCTAAACCCTAAACCACAAACCTAAACCCTAAACCCCAGGTTTCCTGAAAACGCCTCTCAGCTCGCCGCCCAGCGGTCACAAGAGCAATTCCTTCCTGCCGCCCAGTGGCACATGAGAACTTCAGTCTTCCGGTTATGAGTTTAGGGTTTAGGGTTT